GGGGGCGGAGGGGGGTCCTCATCTCAGTCAGCTGCCCCAGCTAACCCCTCCATACCCGGGGCCCAGACACCACAGCACCCGGGAAAGGGATTGGCCCAGAGATGGCCACCCCAAGGGGATAGGGATGGGTGGAAGATAGCAGGGATGGGGATGAGGACAGGCACCCGAGCCCAGCCTGGCTCCCTGCCCGTCTCTGGGGACGGCACACCCACCACAGCCTCCTCTTGGCTTCATTGCAGAGCCAGGACTGGACCAAGAGCGATGAGAAGCTCCTGCAAGCTGTGGACTACAATGATGCCGGGAGGGTGACATCTCTCCTCGTCCGCAAGGGCCTGGTCCCCACCAAGCTGGACTCGGAGGGCAAATCCGCGTAAGTGCTGACCCACGACCTCGGGACACCGGGGACGCAGGGCTGGGGACAAGGCCAGGGGCCAGGGATGTGAGTTCGACAGCCCCCGGTCTTGCTGCAGGTTCCACCTGGCCGCCATGCGGGGAAACGTGGACTGCCTCGAAGCCATGCTGGCTCACGGCGTGGATGCCATGACCAAGGATAGCTCGGGTGAGGGCATGGCTGCCACGCGCCCCTGGCTAACGCCATGGACCACCTGGGGCCACCGACGCTCCCTGGTTGTTCTCACCCTGCCGCGGGTATTGAGGCTGAGGGGACGGAGGTGATGGCCACACCTGTGGGGGCTGTAAATTGTCCCAGCTTCCTACGGGGGCTCAAGCACTGACCGATGGTGCTCCTCCATTCCCATTCAGCCCCAGTCCAGCGGATCCTCCTGTGTACCCACCCGTCCGTCTGTCACCCAACTGGTCCCCTCTGCCGCAGACCCATTGTCTGTTCTCTGACGCGTCCGTCTGTCCCTCTCCCCAGGTTACACTGCCCTGCACCTGGCGTCCAAGCATGGTCACCCACAGTGTGTCAGCAAGCTGTTGCAGGTACCAGGGCTGGAAGCATGGTGCTGCGAGGGAGGGAGGGTGCTGTGCCAGTGAGGTGTCCTCTCTGTCCTTGACCTCCCTTCCCTCACCAGTGGTGTTGGCTGGCATGGTGGTTCCCGGCTCTGCCCGGCGCTGTGTGGTGCTGCCCGGCACCTGCTCGGCCCTCCACCATGCCAAGGAGCCACGTCCACTGGAGCAGTCTGTCTGTCTGTCCCCCGTCCTCCTGTAACCCAGGCTCTCTCCCTCAGGCCTCCTGCCCTGTGGATGTAGCCGACGGCAGCGGCCAAACAGCGCTGCACCACGCAGGTGAGTGGGGACAGTGCCAGCCCCGTCCTGCTCATGTCCCCGTGGGAGGCAGAGTGCTCAGCCTCTGTCCTTCTCCCCAGCGGTCAGCGGCTGCATCTCGTGCTCGGAGATCCTCTGTGATTTTAAGGCTCCCTTGAACATCAAGGACAAGGTGAGATCCCTCTGCTCCTTGCCCTCAATGCTGTGCAGAGCAGCAGGGGGCCGGGCTGGGGCTGCCTCTGAAATGCAGGAGCTTCTGGGGTGGAACGCAGCAGCTGGCAGCACCTGGGGTTCCTGGGGTGAAAACATACCATGAAGTGGGACGTGGAAATCTGGGAGATAACGTGAGCGAGGTGCCCCATGGGGGGATCTGAGCCTCGTCTGCGCAGCCTCACCCAACCTGACCTTGCCCAGGATGGCTCCACACCGCTGATCCTTGCTGCTAAGATGAGCCACTCAGAGCTTTGCCGGTACCTGCTGCACCGCGGCGCGGCTGTCAACAGCCGGGACCTGCAGGGGAGGTGGGGCAGCACAG